GTTGTGATTGGGTGGTGGTGGAGCCTGGCCGATCTGTTACAGTTTGTGTATCCGAATGCATTTCAGAATATAACACAAGAAATCAAGAACATGAACTAAAGCATGAAAAACTACTGTAACGGTTGGAATAAACACGAATGTTAAAAACTGAACAGATTTAAAACATTTTGCATCATACACTTGCCAACTAAATGGTTAAAAGTGGACATCATGCACTAAACAATTAAATTTCACACAATAAAAAATGCTTCACAATGTCACAATTCACAAAAGAGTATGTGTTCTAAAATCGGCTTTAAATATCAATAATATTGGATGTCCTCTGACTGGAAAGATTCATAGTCTGCTAAAATGGCAAGAAAAAAAGTCTGTGTCAATCATACACTTTATGCAATTTTCTGTGAAATCTGTCAACTTTGACTGCACAGTTTCTGCAGGCTGGCACTGATTTTCGGAAACTAGCATCAACTCCTTGAGACTGTAAATCAGGGCAAAAATCTGGGCAAAAGTTTTGTAGTGTACTGTATTTCAGAATTAAGGCTCACAACAAATAGCATAACATAAGAAGCACAAGACCAGAACACGAACAAGGGAAACATGAGGGCATAAATACACAACATGTTATGCTGTATACTGTATGTATATTACTGCTCGACAGATAACTTATGCTACTGCCAAATTACATGGTTTTTAAACTATCCAATTTTTGCCATCCAAACATCTTAAAATGCCAATTTCAGGGAAAATTAGTGAAATAAAAAAAAAATCTGACACTCTATCAAGCTCAGTTTTTGGACTGCAGTATTTCTAAAGCACTGTGTACAGCCAGGGACAAACCTAGGCAAAGCACTGGCTGGAAATAGGAACAAAGGAAAGCATAAACAAAAGTACAGTTTCTCCAATATATCCACAAACCTCATTAAAAGGTGGCAGTGGTTTGATCAAATCTCTCCCTGACCCTTACTAAACACCTTTACCAATACTAAATAAAGACTGAAAAGACACCTCAAGGCAGCAAGGTCTTGTCCTCTCTTGCCCTTCTTGTTACACTTCTAAAACAACCACAGAATTGGCAAGCACCCATTTATTTAATTAAGGACAAGGCAGAGCGATTAGACTGTTGATTCTGGAAGTCTGAACTAAAATGTTTCAAACCTGGAAGACTTTGTGTGTGTAAAATTAATGTTTGTATATTAATGTTTGTTCATGTAATGCAGCGATTCCCAAACGTTTTTGTCAGCCAAGGCCCTTAGACAAATGTACTTGAAATTTGTCTGAGGAAGTTAATATTTTAATAATTTAACAACACATCTGCATGTTTACAGACAGTTTGATGTCAGTTAATGGTCACATTGACGTACAGATTGTTATATTTGCTGGTGTTTGACCCTGCCTGTTTTGACTATGCTCTATTTCAATAAAGCCTGCATTTGGATCCTCAACTCCATTGTAACGCTTGTCCGTAACAGAAGACTTCAACACACCCGTACCTAGCGGCTTTATTCAGTGATCCAGGCCAATTATGAACTCAGCAATCAGGTTAGTTTGCCTCCGTCAGGGAATGCGTTCCCTCGAGGACCACATCCAGGACTTTCTAGACATTTCACATCACCCTGATCTCCCAGACTATGCCCTCATTGTTTTTTCAGTGCTGCCAGAGTTCGAGTGATTTCTGGAAAGCCTGAATTTGTTCAGAATGTCTGAAAATATTGTCCTCCCTTCCTTGTAGCTTCAGATTTAGTTAGTTTAGAACAGAAAATATGTCAGCAAGCTAAGACAGGGTTAAAAGCCATTTCTCATCACTGAATGAGCTTGCGAGAGGTGACGGTTTCTCAGTTAGAAAAGCATGTATTTCATCCATCAGTTCGTACACTCGGCGAACAACCCTGCCCTTGGACAGCCATCTCACCTCTGTATGAAAGATTACATGTGTGTGCTCAGCTCCTATTTCAGTACACAGGGCCTCGAAAAGTTGGCTGTTAAGAGCACTACCTTTAATGTAGTTCGCAACTTTAACAATGTCTCTCATCACCATTTCAAGCTCGGGTGGGATTCCTTATGATGCCAAAGCTTCACCATGAATAAAACAATGATTCCAAACAATGTTTCGTTCTGCTGCATCCTTAATCCTTCTGATAACTCTATTTTTGCCAGTGATGTTGGCTGCCCCATAGCTGGTGATGCCTTTGCAATTGGCATATTGAAGACCACATTTAGTCATTAAAGCATTTAATTCTTCAAAAAAGTATGTGCTCCTGATGTGCTGGAAGGCAATGTTAGGCAGCACATAAGATCTTTCAAAAAATCACCTTGCCAAATGTACTAAACATAAACTAGTAGCGTAGCGCTTGATATATTGTACTTTTTGACTTTGGCCTGCTCATGTTTAGCATAAAATAAATTAAAGACGGGCTACTTATACAACTCTACTGAAGCCTTTTGCATCATTGCAGTTGGGAAAAGAAAATGGCTGCATCAGTGACACTCCATGCTTTGTTAAAAAGCATAAGAGCTGACTGATTGCATTTATGTGGGTCAGGTGACAGAGGTCTAGTATTTATTTTAATGTTTTAATGTGTATTTTAATGTGCTTCTATTCAAAATTATTATTGTTGTTGTTTTATTATTATTAAAATTGCATTAATTAATTTTAGAATATTTTCCCTAAATCATCCTGGCATCAAGTCCGACCCAGTGTTTGAAAACCTCTGGCCTACTGTATAGATTTCAGATGCAAGTCTGATATTTTAAGCGGGATTTAGTAGAAGCACTACACTAGGTTACTTTTACTTTTTTAATACGTAACTAAAAAGTAAGTTGTACTTTTTTTTTTACTTTTTGGGCCAAATACTTTTAATCGTCTAAACATGATGTAATAAAAGCATGAATAACCTTCTCCAAATACAAAATACAAAAATGTTTTAAGCTTGGAAATAATTTGTAATTGATAAAAATTATTTTTAAATCTAGGATTACACCAGGTTTCTTACCTGTGAAGAAATTACAGGGAAATTATTATGAAACTCCCTAATAAGATCATCTCTCAATTTTGGGGGACTGAAGATAATAATGTCAGTTCTGTCTTCATCAAGTTGAAGAAAGTTATTTGACAACCATTTCTTAAAGTCCTTGAGACAGTCCAGCAAAGGTTGAATGGAGTTGCTAGCTTTTAACAGCAAATAAAGCTGAGTACCAGCATCATAAAAATGAAAAGAAACATTGTGCCTCCTAATAATATTTCCAAGTGGTAACATATATAAGTTAAAAAGAAGCAGACCCAAAATAGATCCCTGAGGTACTCCATTTATAATAGGGAGTGAGTATGAGAGGAACTTAGCTAATGCTACAGAAAAGGACCTTATGAACTAAAAAATATGATACTAAATATGAACTAAACCATTGTAAGGATTCGTAACTCTTGATACCGATCAAATGTTCTAAACACCACAGAAGAATATAATGATCAACAGTAGGCTATCAAAGACACCAGTAAGATTTTTTTAACACCAATGCAGCATTTTTACCAGAATCAACCGCAAGTAAAATATCACTGGACACTTTCAGCAACGCAGGCTATGATTAGCAGTGAAACTTGATTGGAATGGTTCAAATGGTACAACGTGAATGCACATTTTGTGTGATTATTGGGACACGGCTAAATAGCATCTCAAGTGGTTGTGTTGCCAGAAATCACTCACTGAAAATGAATGAGTGCAGGTTGTTTGTCACTGCACAGTGCTGTCAGCATGAATGACCAGAACTGAGAAACTATAGATTGGTTCAGTTTGGCCCTGCACATATGCATTCAGCATATTTTTGTAACAAGTGGTTGAGACTGAATTGAAAGCATCTTATTACTGCCCTTGATTGATAGCAATCCTACAAGACAGTTACTAAGTGCCCACTAATCATTTGACAAATGTTGGAGATACTGCAAGTGAAAATGAGCCAATCAGGACAGCAGCTGAGGATATCTCTTTTTTTATGGCTTGAAATGAAGAACTTAAATGATAAACCATATTAGAAGGCTTACAAACATAAAGCAATAACACCTTTTGTATTAATGCATGTTTATTGTTTTGCAAATGATAACAATATAGCCTAAAGAGAGTATTATGTATTTCTAAAACACAGATGCCTGATTTATAAATGATGTGAATAACTGCATTTCATTTACAACACAAATACTAAATTATTTGCTTTTTGCAAAATTACTACTAAGGAATGGCTATTGATTCTCCCTGTGGTCCGTTGCACTGATGCAATGTTGGGTTTTAAAAGAATGTCCTGTAAAAAGAGTGACAAATATAAAAATCAGATTAGTCTGACAGATATTTAAGAGAGGGCTGGTTTCGCACATCCACACGAGGGGTGAAGAAAACAAGGTTGCACACATAGTAAGGAAACAGACTTAAATTAGCAGGTTGCTTTGTATGAAACCAGCCAGAAATATATAAACGTGACAGAAGAATGTCACTCCATTGGTTCACAGAATGTAAAAAATGCTTGAAGGGATAGTTCACCCAAAAATGAAAATTCTGTCACCCTAATTTACTCACCCTAATGTCAGTCCAAACCAAGACTTTCATTTATCTTCAAAACACACACAAATAAATTTTAAATTAATCGTTCTCTTGAGAAGACTTGGATTAAACAGCTTGATTCATATGGATTATTTTTTAATGTACTTATGTACTTTTGAAGCTGTAAAGTTTTGGTGGAATGGACTTTCAGTGGGGGGACAGAAATCTCTCAGACGTTATTTAAAAAAAAAAATCCTCATTTGTGTTTCAAAGATGAACGAAAGTCTTTTGGGTTTTGAGCAACATGAGAGTGAGTAAATGATGACAGAATTTTCATTTTTACTATTTGCAGCAACCACCACAGCATTACTGGTGGCACAGCAATAAGTGCTTTCAAACACAACTATTGTTTCCATGAGCATCTGTATTCACCTGTCAATACGTTTGCAATTGTTTTAGTTTCAAAGTTTGGTTCTGGGGAACCAATGACAGTATCTATACAGCACAGTAGTGCTATAGACATTTATAGAAACATGCAGTAGTTCAAAGCAGCAATAATCAATGCACGAGTCATGACATGTAACAGTCCCTTTGAACAACATCAATCAGAACGACTGCGTAACTTTGTGAACAAGAGTATTGCATATTGCATTATTGAATCATTAGCGCAAGAAATCTCCAATTGAAAACATTTGGGTGGGTTTCCAGATTGACAAAGAGATTGTCACATGTACATGATAAACTGCAGAATGGTATGGATGTGTTTTTTATTTTTTTTGTGGGAGGCTTTTACCACTGGGTTAGTGGCGATCATGTTGGGGGATGGGGGGTCCTCATCTGAAGGACGTAGCCCTGTCTGTACACAGGGGCACTGCCTTGGAAAACCTTTTTCTTTGCAGTGGGTCTGACTGATGCTGCGTTAGGGCTGAAGACAAACAGCAATGACAGGTTCACCACTGAGAGCCATGTACACTAATGATTGATTTTTTCATTGGGAATAATGGAGACAGACCACATAATGCATTGAAGCGAATTGAATTTGGAGGACACTGGAGCTGCCATTGTGTGTGGTCACATATCATATATTATGCAAATATACATACACTTCGTCTTCATATTCCTTTGGTGGAGAGACCGCGATGACCAGGTCAATCCAATCCTGCGAACACATGCATGGAATAATATCAAGCACTTGCATACAAATGTTTTTACATTTGACAGGCACAACGGCACAATGTTCTTGCTACATTCTGCATTATTTCTGCTTCAAGCCTTCATCTATATCGATGATGCTTGTTGAAGAAATCATTATAGCAGCAGACCATGTGTGCTTTCTTGTTATTTACCTCTTCCAGGAAAAATAAGAAAATATATGAACACAAATACCAGACATTAACCACAGAAATTCAAAGATTCAACACTCATTTGCACTCTGTTTTAACTTGCTAATATTGAAAATGAATGCATAACTACAGCCACACTATTTCTGTAACAAATGTTTAGGGAAATTTATGTAATTCTGCAGAATTGTTTTAATGCAGCATTTATGTCAAGTCGAAATTACGGTAATTACTGTAATTGTGCAATTAAGACCTTAGGGATTCTACATTGTGCTATTCATGTAATTGTATTTTGAAATTACTCATTTTTAAGTCAGCGCTAATAACAATAATAAGATCCTTGTGCAGCTTTGTCACTGCAAACTACTTTTCAGTATTCTTCCAACCCAATCTTATGAGAAAATGTAACTATTTTACATTTCAGTGAATTTTTGGACAATTCATACAAAAAATAAATAAAATAAACCTAAACATGAAGGTCAACCCCTAAACCAAATACTCACTGGGGTATAAACAGATTGTATGAAAATGCAAAAAATCATACAGTTCGCCAAAATGTAAATTAGTCACAAACTGTCACACAGGTGTGTGGATTCTTCTGTAAAATCTTGAACAAGGAAAGAGCACATGGGCTATGATAAAATGACATATTACAGATTACAATTCCAACATGACGTGAATACCGCATTAATATGGTAAGATATAAGATGAAAGCAAGACTCTTATTAGTAGTGGATTTGCTGAAAGGCCATCCAAGATGTAGATGAGTTTATTTCTTCATGCGAATAGATTTGGAGAAATTCAGCATTACATCACTTGCTCACCAATGGATCCTCTGCAGTGAATGGGCGCCGTCATAATGAGAGTTCAAACAACGCAATAATCCACATGACTCCAGTCCATCAATTAATGTCTTGTGAAGCGTGTTCGTAAGAAACAAAATATCATTAAGGCGTTTTAACTTTAAATGATCAGAGATAAAAAGCTGTTTTGGACTGTTTTCACCTTTCACTGTTTTCACTGACCTGTGCATTTTTCTCTCCTGTTTCAGACATGATTACTTTTTCACTGGAGAAAGCAATATTATGGCTAAAGGACTAGTATTTTAGTCGGAAGCAATGGTTTAAAGTAAAAAATGTCTTAATATTGGACTTTTTTTTAATTATAAACATATTTTTGCTTCATAAAATGTTAATTGATGGACTAGAGTGGTGTGGATTACTTGTGGATTATTTTGATGTTTTTATCAGCTTTTTGGACTCTCATTCTGTTGGCACCCATTCACTCCAGAGGATAGACAGATTATCTGATTTAAAGTGACAGGTTTTTTTATTGTAATGACGGTCATACCCCTCCACTGTTCCAGGCCTGAGCCAATGAGGCTTGTCCTTCAGCTAAAGTCACATCCGTCAGGATCTTTCCATTCACAGCCATGATCTCATCACCCGACACAACACCACCTGAGATAACATGGACGAAAAATAACAGTAACAAATTGAACAAACTAACCAGGCAATTTTAAAACAGAACTAAATGTTCTGTCAATATAATCAGTATAACTAATGAATATAGAGAGCTGCTCTAGATTTTTGCATGATTCTAAGTAGTTTTTATGGTGTTCATGTGCAGCTACTGTGGTGTTTGGGGTGTTTGCTAGAACCTTAAAATCAAAAGAACTCCCAAATCTCTATAATACGTTATTTTTGTTTGACTCACCATGTTTATCTGCCGCACCTCCCTCATAGATAGACGACACCACAATCTTTCCCAAAGGGGAGTCAATTCCTCCCTCTATGACCAGATCAAGCTTTCCTTCCTAAAGAATGTGTATAGAATAAACAAAAATCTCTAATTCTTATTGTCCAATGACAGATGTTGCTCATGTCTGTTTAATTACCTTCTTAATTCTCAAAAGTCGCACATCTCTGCCAGCTATTTGTTCAGACGTGAACTGTTAAAACACACAGTTTGAGCAAATGTGGTGAAATAAATATTCCACAGAGGATATAAAATATAAAAATGGCAATGGGTACAGAGAGTAACTGTTAATGTAAAGGGTTACAGTACCATGGAATATGGATCAAAACCATCCACATATTTCTGAAATCCCTGAAAAACAGATAGGAAAAATAGAAATGGCTTACACTCCATCTGCAAATAGTCTGCAAAACTCTGAGATGGCAATCTGAGGACTCAGTTTAAGCAGAAACAAATTAGTGCTCATTGATTTCCAAGAAAATCCAAATGAACACTACTTCACTTAATGTGTTCATATTTGAAGTAGTTATTGAACAACCAGGTCAGATTTGACCAACTTTAATTTTAAATATAAAATTAAACAATATAAAAAATCAATAAACAGAAAATAAATGTAACATAATATAAGAAACAGTACAACACATTGCATCATTTACTACAGTACTGTACTACATGGTACACATATTAATACTGAGAAAGGAAGTGTTTGCTTTGTTGGATCCTTTGGTAGCTTTCCAGTTGATTCTGGATCTGCACTGATGTTTATGTACAATGTAAAGGCTCTTTGCCATCCACTACACACTCAAAACCACCTTCCATCAAGACAAATAATCAATCAAGGTTTCACACCCACAGAACCAACAAACTGGAAAAACACAGACTTCTGGTCTTGCTCCACCTCATAAAAAGTGAAAATGCACACTGAGATGCCATTTGGTGCATATGCACTCTACTATTATATAACCTTCAGTTTGAGTCTCCCATTTGTGCAGTGCACATGGGATACACTCAAAGGCTGCTTTCACAGCAAACAAGATGTATGATTGCAGCAAACAAGTATGATTGCATGGGAATATATAGGTGTGATGCTGAATTAAGATATATTTGAGTTAATCCACACTGTGAGACCAGTTCATGTCTTAACCGAAATAAGCACAATACTGCAATCATACATCTGATGTCCTTGAGTATTTAAAGAGATATTTATAAAATAAATGTTTAACACATAAATGACATTTACCTAAGATCAGAATAAAATCTACACTACTCGGTTTCTACTTGGTTCCTTTTCGAAATGGTTCACTTGCATTGCGGCAGTTGCTGATGCTTTGGGGAAAGCAATCCAATAGCACCATGCTATAAGGGCAGAATAAAGGAGCCATCTTGGATAAGCTGCCAAGAGCCCATACTTGGGCAGGATAGGGGGGTCTGACCACTCCTCCGCAACAGAAGCCGCTAATGACATGGTTTCATTGGCGAAATCCTCCTCAGAACCCCCCAAAAAGACTAAACTGCTCGCACATGATTAGGGCTGCCCCCTAATAGTCGACTAACCATTAGTTGACAAGAAGAGGCTTAGTTGATCAAAATTTTACTAGTCGCTTAGTTGCAGGAAAAAAATCGGTAACACTTTCTATGAAGCCCATACTTATAACACATTATAAGGGTATTCTTAAGGCATTTTAATGAATGCATAATGCATTATAAAATACCTTATAATATGTTATATCATCTTATAAATAATCATAACAATAATTATAATACATTATAATGCTTACGCATTTGTGGTTATACATTTTAAGATTATGATTATTTATAACACACAATGAACACCATATAAAATATATTTTTACATTTATAATGGACTATATATCTTGACATTGTTTATTTAAGATCTGCACAGTATCTTACTACATCTTGTAAGTGGTTAGGTGTGGAGTGTTATTTGAGTGTTCCCTGTGAGGCTAATATTAATTTTGATGTGAGCTAGTTAATAATTTCAACTGAAAAAAATGCAGTGTTTATATGTTAGGTTACATTTTAGTTTGATGGTCCCTTTAGTCTATTGACTATAAGCAACTTTGCAACTACATGTCAACTAACTCTCATTAGAGTATTAGTATGCTCAAGAATGGTAGAATCTAGTATGGTAGAATAAGTTGACGTACTTGCAAAGACACTTATAGTCAGTTTATCTGTTGGTTGACCATCAAAATAAAGTGTTAGCAAATATTTACAGTAGCTGACATACTAATACTCTAATGACCGCTAGTTGATATGTAGTTGCAGAGTCACTTATCAACAGCTGTTTAAAGGGTACCATCAAAATAATCAAACTGATATCACATACATCTGATCTGATATCTGATCTTATGGCTGTTTGAGAAAATATTATTATTATTATTATTACTATACTTATAAGTGGTCTTTGATGGCTTTAAGTAAAGTAGCATAAGAAAGATGGCAAGATATGAGACTTATAATACATTATAACTATGAGAAATATAATCCATTGTAAAAGTGGATGCAACGTGTTCATTGTGTTATAAATCATCATACTCTTAAAAGCTGTAACGACAAATAAGTAAATATTATAAAACATTAAAACTGTTCTTATGAATATTCATAAGATGATATAACATATTATAAGGGCTTTTATAATGCATTGTGCATTCATTATAATGCCTTAAGAATACCCTTATAATGTATTATAAATATGGGCTTCATAGAAAGTGTTACCAAAAAATCCACAGAAAGTGGCGAGGTCACATAGTCCTTGACGGCCGAAACTCTGCGCTTGCCTCACAGACATGAAAAATAGATCTATAGAAAGCACAATCTACTTTTAAATTAACCAATTCAAATGGAAAACAAATATTTTCAGATTATGTAATCTGTATGAAACGTGCACGTCCGCAGTGGAGATGAGTCAGTGTCGTCGACTTCATCACTGCAGCTGAAAACACTAGTTTATCAATGAATTATTATGATGTTAAGGCAGTCTTCTTGCTGTTTTTTCCCTGACGCATTCATAATCATTACTTTTGCAGTGCGCTGTGGCAAGTTTTATGTGTGTGCTTGAGCGCTGATAGGCTATAGACTATTAAAGGCTCATCATTATGAATTATATGGTTTATTAATATAAATGCGTGATTAGTCGACTGATCGCTTAAAATAAACGACTATTAGTCGTTCAGAAAAATCTTTAGTCGAGGGCAGCCCTTACACATGATGAGAGGTGCTGGTCCTCATGGGAAAAGTGTACCGGGGAATCCTCTTGCTGTGGGGAGAGTGTGGCACATGGGATCTGGGCTGACATGAACTCATCTTTCACCGAATAGCCACAGGGAGAAACGCAGTTCTCAGCTGAGACTGATGTCAGCACCATAACCACTGCTGGGGCTCTTCCACGACAAGCAGGATTCTTCTTCTTCTTCTTTGGAGTCAGCGAGGAGATTATCTTCTCTCTGAAGGAGAAAGAGTCTGATGAAATGGCATTCAGCATCAACTTATATAGGCGAATTTCTTCACCCGTTTTGGCGGGCTGAAAAGCCAGTTGTTCATGCAGATGCATGAACATGATTCATTGAACAGGCTTCAGTATTTTAGAGAAATGCAGTTTCCCCAAAGCATCAACAACTGACGCAATGCAAGTGAACTCTATCGAAAGGGAACTAGTTTTAAATGACCTCAAGGATACATTTTACCAATATCCTCCAGGGAAATATTGTTAGAAATGTAGTAGACACTTCACATGCAGATGTATACACTTAGACAGCTGAGATTTCACTCAAAGACCAGAGTGTTGAAAGAGAGGAGGAGTTTAACACAAAGTAATGATGACAGTTACTTGTTTCTTGCTGGATTTAAAGGACGTGTTGTACGTGACCATCCGTTTGAGCATCTCTGGGGGCTGAAACACACATAATTATGGCTCAATAACACACACATTAAATGCTTGCACCATCTGATTACATGCCATATAAGGTTTGCCTCAGCATGGCAAATAGGTCTATTAACTATTATCTATGAATTTAGGTATCTGTGAGCTTTACAAATACACTGACTGCTTGAAGTTGGTGAGGTCATTTCTTGCCCTTCTTGTTACCCTTCAAAAACAACCACAGAATTCTCAAGCACCCATTAATTTAATTAAGTAGGCACAAGGACAGGGCAGAGCGATTGGCTTCCTTTGTGATCTGATGGAGCAGGCCTGACTGTCTGGAGGAGGAAGGGGAGAGCAGGTCTAGGTCTGTCAGGCTGATCAATTAAAGACATTTTAATGCTAAAAGTCTCATTGTGTACGCAGATGGAAAAATAATCTCTCTTTTCACCTCTCTCCCCTTCTGTCTTTCTCTTTCCGCCTTCTTAATCAGTGCAATCAGTAACAACAGCAGCTATTTGGTTCTCCTTGAGTTTGAGAAACTCATTATAATGAGTGAGTCAGACAGCTATTGGCACAACAATTAAACCAATGAGTCAAAGTCGTAAAGATCCAGTAGCTTATATATGCCTAATCATCGCACGTATACACACAGGTACTTGCCATCTTACCATGGTCTCAGAGCGAAGTGTGGGTCTATGTGAGGTCTGACTCGGTAGCATGACAGGTTTGGACATGACAGGGTTGATCTGTCTCCGCTGGTTTGGAGGGCTGGGGGCAATTCGCTATGTAGAGGTTAGCAGTAAGGGACACAAACTTAAGGTCAGGGCATGATATACCTTCAAGAGTTACGCAATCTAAACCACAAAGCACAAAATACTTTAGGAACCTTTCATATAGCACAAATACTGAATTGCAGCTTTCATGTTCAGCAAACGACGTTTTTCATGCAAAATGTCAGACAGTGCCTTTCTAGTAATGATGACTTTTTGTGAAATGGCTTTTTAAATTTCATTACTTCCCAAATAAATCCTATGGATAAAGGAAGTACGCATATCTATAAAACAGTTCAAAGAGTTACGGTTTTATAAAATTCCTCCCTTATATCTTGGACAACAGGTAAAAAGGTACATTTTTGTTCCTTATTTACCCCTAAATGGTATATTAGTACCTTATGAAATGGTACCGCCCCAGTGACAGTTTGGTACCCTATTCTCTTTTTTTTTTGAGAGTGTATAAGATATGTGCCAACTATATCCATTTAGAAATGCACTTCCTGTGGGGTTTCAGAGTAATCTCCTGATATAGGCATGGAGAGCTGTTGAAAGATATTTCCTCTGCAAAGAGATGCCAGTTTGCATTAAGATAACATTACATATGTTACACAAGCGTGGTAAGTCTGATTTGTGCTAAAATGTAGTGGAAGACCCAGAGTAGCATGTATCTTTTACAAACTGAGGACTCACCAGTGGATTATTAGAGGTGGACATCCTGCTAGCATGTGATGTGTTTCTCATCACCTGGGCCACAAGGATACATTTTTCAACAATCTAACAATGATAGGAATCACTAGCACTGCAAGATCATCAAAGCGAATGACAGCATGCTTTTCTCCCAAAATGATGATCTGCTTCCTGACAAATATCTTTAAGAAATTAATAATGGTTAATCTCATCTGCAAAACACCACACTCAAGGAATGCATGCATGTATGTACAACATAAGAGGTGGATAAAAAAACAGGTAGATTGCAGTGTTTACTTCAGTGAAGAGCAATATTCCTGTGTCATGAAATCAATTTTGGAATCAAATTGGATTGAATTATAAGGTGCCTAAAGATTCCCACCAATATACGACATACATAATTAACTCTCACACTCCCAAATGTGTTAACTATGCTAACCGTCAAGCTGTGGTCAGCCTTCGGGCTGGGTGGGCGTGAGAGATGACTGGGAATGGTGGAGTGGAAGCCCCCTCTCTGTCGGTAACCATTGTCCCCAAACCTGCTTCCCTGTTCGGATAAGCTTGGGGAGCGGGGATAGTTGGACGGCCCCACATGGTACTTGTCCTCCATGTGCAGGGGTGGAGGAGGTGGTGGAGGGGGAGGAGGTGGTGGCGGGGGAGGTGGCTGAGATGAGGACAGACCCCTGGAGGAGAATAGTGGGGTGGCTGGGGGTTGCCGGCTACGACCTATTGAGGAAGGGGGTACCCTTGTGGCTAGTGGAGAAGGTGGGTGGTGAGGGGCTGGTCTGGGACTGGGTTGCATTGGGAGCTGCGTTCTTGGAGATGGAGGTCGATGGTTGGATGAGTGGTAAAGTCGGGGTGAGGGTGGAGGGAGTGGTAAGGGAGTGGGAGCTTGGTTGGATGTAGGTGGAGGTCTTTTCAAAGGCTGCCTTAGACTCTGGTCCACATCATCTAAGTTGATGTCATCAAGGTCAGTAGTGGCCAAGGTCAAGCCTCCAGGGAACCTCCGATTGGTGGGACCAGTTGACACTGGAGAACGAGTTGGAGACATCTGGAGGTACATTTTGAATGCTTAGAACTCTGAATTAACAAACTATGGACTAGAAGACCAACACACATAAGGATACTTCATTGGATTTTACCTCTGGAGAATCATTTTCAACTGAGGAGATTTGCTCTAGTCTGGTTTGACAGAGCCTCTCCACCCAATGCTGCACCTTCTCTGACTCTTCCAGATCTTCCCTCTCAGTTTCTGACACCTAGTGGAATTAGTAAAGCCATACCCAAACATGAACTCTTTCATATACCAATAAGAACTTATTGAAATGGCATTGGAAAGGGTACAACTGTTCAAATGGGGACATTTTACCAATAAAGGTCAAGTGCAAAGGAGAGTGAATCAATTACACACAATTAAACAAGGAGTACAATCTGAGTCAGAAAACCCTACTGTAACCTCACTGGAAGAAGTCTGATACCTCTTGCAGAAGTCTGCTGATTTTCATCTGCTTCTCTCGCTCAAGTATCTCTTCCTTCTCCTTTGCAAGTTTCAGCTCAAACTCCATCTCTTTCTTGTTCTTTTTCTCAGCTGGGAGAGTGTCAGTCTTCGATATCTTCTTCTTCTTTTTGGTCTCTTTTCCTTTCTAAATATCCAAAGTGATTTGAGAACACCTGATGGACTTTTCACCAAGGTCAACCCAACTACCATGCAAATCATAACTTCATGCATATCTCCAAGATGAACAACATATTCCATAGTTATAGCACACCAAACCAGCACAACATGCTTGCAACACACAATGTACCTTTTTGAGTGTAGGCAACTTTCCTTCGTAACGGTAGAACCAACCGAACGCTAAGACAGCAAGAATGATACATTAAGTCCCATGCAAAGACTCAACCATGATATGGTGTATTCTGCAGATTCATCCATATAAAAGCTACCAAAAGATCCAGCCAAACAAAATATAGTCTACATGCAGTTGAAGTGTCTCAAAAGTTTGTTAAAGAGAATCTTTGTCTGTAAATCCATCTGAATTCTTCACTTACTTCTCCGGTCTCTTCTTCATAGGACTCAGCAGCTGATGGAAACAGGAATTGATAGACACGGCACAACAAAAAAGGAAAAGATAAGATAGAAAGACAAAGATCACACAAAGAGATGATGCATTCCCAACATAAATGCACATCTGTTCATGCAAAGGAGAAAGGAGTAACATCAATGCAACATGTTTTATGGTTACCTTTTTTGGAAAGAATAACAGTTGTTTGATCTTTAGAGAATAGTGAAGTTCTACTGAGGGCAATCAAAGTTCATGCACTGGAGAGGTTTTGTTGGTATTGTCAACTTACTGGAGGTTTTGGGTTTAGGTGAAGGTGCATTACGTGCAGGTGGTGGGGGTGAGGGAAGTGGGGAGGGGGAAGGAGATTTGGATTTTTCTTTGGAACCCCAATCTTCTTCCCAGTCTTTGTGGTGCTTCCTTTCCGCGGCTGCAATTCTGAGACACATACATTAAAGGCACAATATGTAAGATTTTTTTATTAATATCCAAAATCCACTAGAACACTGTTATATATTTTGCTGACTTGTGTACTTACATTATCCCAAATGTTTCGAAGAACGTTTAAATCCAGAGAAATAAGCAATTTTAACTAGTGACACGGACCATGTCTATAGTGTC